AATCGTTCCCCGACCGAACTAATTCGGTGGCCGACCGAATTAACCAAACTAATTCGGTTCGATCGATTAATTCGGTTAAAACTGAAAAATGAATACCCCTAACCATATTTAGTGAAAAATATTTTAATTTTTAAGTTTCATCCTCTTAAATACCCATTTTTATGTGTAATTGTGTTACAGAAAATGCAAACACACATGAAAAAAAATCCACGATATCCGAGATGTTGTTAAGTTTTTAACGACAAATAATTAAAATAAAATTTTAAATTAAATATTAGATATTTATATTTTAAAAAGTAGGTGACCAAAACAGAAAAAGTAATGATTAGATGACTAAACATGTAGTTACCCTAAAGAAAAGGGGTAAAATACACCATTCCTCAAAGCTTCACTCTCTCTTATTTCACACATTGTAATTTTAATTTTTTTCAATTTACTCATTAAACTTTTGAATTATTTATGTTTTGGTCATTATAAATTATTTTATTATTGTTTTGATATGATGTAATATTTTTATTATTATGTATTTAAAGTTATTTTTTATATTAAATAATAATGAAAAATATCATGTCATACCAAAATAATAATAAAATAATTTAGAGTGACAAAAACATATATAATTTCATAATTCAATAAATAAATTTAAAAAATTGAAAGTATAATGAGTAAAATAGAAGACAGAGAGAGTAAAGTTGAGTGAAGACTATTATAGGTTACCCTAAAATAAAATATAGAGGCTAATACAAAAATAAGTACCTAAATTATGCCCAAAATTGACATGTAGTGCTTAAAGATTTTTTTTTGTTAAAAAGAGGTAGCTATAATTTTTTCCGTTACATTTTTAAGTATCCACTGTTAAAAAAAATTGTTAAGTGACACATGTCACGTTTATATTTTCTGGCTTTTTTAAAAATAAAATATTATTTAAAATTATTTTTTAGAAAAAACTGAACAAGAAATATGACACTTAACGATTCTTTTAATATTAAACATCTAAAAATGTAACGAAAAAAACATTAAACACTTATTTCTAACGATTTTTTTTTAGAAATTAAAAGTCAATTTTGAATATCATTTATGCACTTATCTTTGTATTAAGCCAAATAGAGTAGGGATGGGTATAAGACTCGAACCCGACCCGACCAGGTCGGATTTATGCAAGAGAAAATGTACATTCTTTTATAATGAGGATCGCTATATTGAAAGCTTTATCATCAGTTCATTGCGATTCCGCTGTCTCGCAATTTAACTCGTCTAGAAATTAGCCTCAGCTTGTCACTATCCCTTAGGGAGTGTTTGGATCAAGGAATATGTGATTCTCATGGGAATGGAATCCACATTCCCATGTTTGGTTGGCCGGGAATCTCATTCCCGGTAATGTTTTATTACCAATAGTAGATTTTTTGAGGTATATTACCGGGAATGTCATTACCTCCATTTCCTTAGGTATTGTTGGATTATCGGCATTTTGGACTAAAATACCCTTGAATATTTTTTTTTCTTTCAAAAATATCCTTCTTCTGTCATTGAATAATAAAAATTCTACGAAGGTTAAATTACAAATTTATCCTTAAAATATTTTAGATTTACAAAAAAAATCTATAATTAAAATTTTATATGAAGTTCAGGGGTTAAAATAAAATTTTACCCTTTCATTAAACCTTTTTATATTTTCAATTTTGTAAAAAAATATATATAAATTTTATGAATTTAATTTTTTTAAAGAAAATATATAAATATTATATAAATATTTTCTAACTTGTTAAAAAAATAAATATATAATAAGGACAATTTTGTCAAATATACATTCAAATAATCTTTTATTCCTTTAACAAACACGGTAATCTTACATTCCTGCTCCCATCAGGAAGAAATAGAAAACTTCATGGATTCAGTTACACCGATGTAAGTATGTGTTAAGTATTACATTTTTTTGTAGTATGAATTATAAAAAAAAGTTGACAAATAATTGTAATAGGTTAATCGTAGGTTAATCTGTAATCGAACCGCTAATAATGGTTAATCATTAGCAGTTAACCGTTTCTTAATAGTTAAGTTACAATTAAAAAAATCTCATAATCGTTATAACAGTTAACCGACCGTTTAGACTAAACAGTACAGTTAACCGTACATGAACATCCAAATTAACCAACTAGTCGACTACGTAATAATTAACCGTGCTGGTTGTTGAAATTTAGCATGTAATGACTTTCTCGGCCACCAAACAAAGCAAGGTACCCATCACCTCATTCACTCACGATTTTCTGTTTTTGTTTAATGTTTAGGGTTTAGGGTTCTTCAATTTTTAAAGTGTTTCTTCTGTTTTGTTTTTGTTTTGTTTTTGTTAAAACTTTTACTTTTGGGACATTTGGGTCATTTCATGGTCGAATGCAAAATTTTATATTAGTATGTCAACTTAAGAACTTATATTAAAAATTTACGAGTGCAAAATATAAAATTTTATGTTAAAGTACACTGATGGTCTCCTGACTCTAAAATGTTGTTTTGTTGAGTCTCTGACTGTTAAAAGTTATAAAATGATCTTACTTTGTTGAATTGCTCAACTATTAAACATTATAAAATGGTCACCCGACTACTCATATGTTCAAAACTTGTCATTTTTCAGTAAAAAATTGGGGGTCGTCTTAGTTAAATGTTAACATGTTGACTAAGATACAATAGTCGTTTGAGATTCTTAGATCAAATTTTAGCAGATCTCAGTCAACAAATTAATGTTCAACTCAGATTGTTGTCAATTTTTAACAGAAAATGACGAGTTTAAAATACATAAATAGTTGATGACTATTTTATAAGTTTTAATAATCGGGGGGACTCAGTAAAATAGCACCCTATATGTAGAGGATCATTTTATAACTTTTAATAGTTAGAAGACTCAACAAAATAGACTTTAGTTACTTGTTGAAGACATATGTTGACACAAATATAAATTTAAATCGAAGAACAATAACGTGAAAGTGGATTATGTAATAAATCATCCTATCGGACCATGATCTGCCGTATGTAAGGCTCCGCCATTTGTGACTGATTTGATGCAAAAACGAAGAAGAGATAAAAGGAAGAAGAGAATAAAAGATGAAAAATGAAGGAATTTTTTATTTTATATAGATGTAAAAATGACATCGGAAATGACCATTCAGCTCAGTTGGTAGAGCACAAGGTTTTTAACTTTGAGGTCGTGGGATCGAGTCCCACGGAGGGCATTTCATAATTCGGAGGTCTCTTACGGAAGTTGCTCCCAACCTAGTGTTGGGAGCAACCTACTATCTTACCTCCCCTTTACCCATACATATGAAAGAAAGGGGCAACCATTTTAAAAACGACATCGTTTTTGATATAAATTTAATTTTTTTAAAATAACGTCGTTTTAATATTATGTGTCGTATCATAGCACTGTTAATTATTTAACGGTGGGTTGACCAAAACAGAAATAATGTCAAAGTTGAGTGAGTACCGTAATGTAACCAAGTCAAATTGACAGATTTTTCTTAGGTGGGTTCATCTTTGAACGTTCCACAACGAATACGTTGTCAAAGTGCTAAAATCAGGCCACAAACGGCGGAGCCATACATACGGCAGATCATGGTCCGATAGGATGATTTATTATATGATCCACATTCACATTATTGTTCTTCGATTTAAATTTATATTTGTGTCAACATATGTCTTCAACACGTAATTTTGACTATCAAAATTTATGAAATAGTTCTTTGATTATAGGGTATTGATTTGTTTAGTCCATCGATTATTAAAAGTTACAAAATAGTCACCAAATATTTATAAACTTATCATTTTCTGTTAAAAATTGACGATAGTATAAACTGAACGTTAACTTGTTGCTTGTGATTTGATAAAAATATGATCTCAAAATCTCATACGATTATCATATCTCAGTTAACGTGTTAACGTCTATCTCAGACTGTCATCAATTTTTTAACAAAGAGTCGAGTTTAGAACATATGAATAATCTAGTAGTCATTTTATAACTTTTAACAGTCGGGGCTCAACAAAACATCCTTTAAAAGTTACAAAATAGTCACCCAATTATTCATAAACTTATCATTTTCTATTAAAAATTGACGATAGTATAAGCTGAACGTTAACATGTTGATTGTGATTTGATAAAATATGATAGAAAAGAGTCGAGTTTGGAACATATGGATAATCGAGTAATCATTTTATAACTTTTAACAGTGGGGGACTCAACAAAGCAACATCCTTTAATTGAGAGATCATTTTATAACTTCTAATAATCAGTAACTACGTGAAGCAAATGTCTGCCTATCGGCTTAAATTAGTATGTGATGGTGTTAATACGTATCTTCAACATGAAACAAATGTGTTTTCTTTTTTGGTACTATTCGTATAAACTTTCAAAATATCGTTAAACAATAAATTAATTATATCGATTACGACGAAATTACTTCTAAAACAATAATATTTATCACGGTGCAAGAAAATTGGAGAATACTGAATAATAATGATATTAATAATTATTCATACACAGTTTACTTGTAGAAGTATACAATAAACTCAAGACATCATTGTCTCTCTCTCTCTCTCTCTCTCTAGCTTTCATCCATGGAAATCTATCCATACTCTGTATATGCACTGAAACAAACACTATAATTTGAAGAAGAAGAAAGAATTAAGGATAAATTACATATTTAGTACTTAAATTATTAATTTTAATCGGTTTCAGTACTTAAGCTTTTAATTTTTTTCAAAATCATACTTAAAGTTTAATTTTTATTTCGTTTTAGTACCCTATTCAAAACTTAACGCTAAGTTTTGATTTTTTTTGAAAGTTTAGGTACTAAAATAAGATAAAACTAGTATTTTAGGTATTAAACACGTTAAATTTTTAAGCGGGTACTAAAATGAAATGAAAACTAAACGTTATGTATGATTTTAAAAAATTGAAAGTTTAGATACTAAAACGGATCAAAACCGATAATTTAGGTACCAAGAATTAAAACATGTTCTTTTTAACTTATCTGTTCACCAATCAAATCCAATCCAACTACCAGAAATGTCAAGCCTTGAAACAGCAGGAAATAGAAATGAACCCCATGAGCAGATAACAAGCTTCTTGCAGCTGCTGTTAGCAGGAGAAGTGCCAATGCTAGCTCTTTCCTGTACAACTTGTTCCTCTTCTTCGACGGGGCGATTTCGTCGAGTTGTTTGAGTTTATTCAGCCCCGATTCGGAGTGTCTCCGAGTGATCTTCTCCTTCGATTCCCTTTCGGCTAAGGCAACCAAGTCGGATTCCGATGATCGCCCTGTTTTCTTCGTTACTACCCACTCGTAGGCGCTTCCGAGCTGGAACAGTCCCGAGATCATGGCGTTGAATTTCGTTACCGACATTGTGTTTTCGAAGAGGAGGTACGGGACCAGGAATGGGAACGATTTCGGGGACGGGAGGATGTTCAGGAGCGACATGAAGATCGGGACGTAACAGATGACCCACAGGGGAAGTTCTGCTTCTGGGATGAACATTGTCAAGGGGAGTATGATGCAGAACAATGTGAATGAGTAGAATGGGAGTATGAGCTTCCTCAGTAGGAAAAACAGGAAGATCAAGTTGGCCTTCTTCGATATCGGTATCTGCATCGATGAACACGAATCATTATAATCGAATCATATGTGCGTTTAACGGATTCAGTTCGGGAAGTGGTCGAACCTTGGATCTCACGATGGCTGGGAGACATAATCGGAACAGCTGCATCGGACCCGAATGCCAACGGTGCTGTTGTTTCTTGTAGGCCTCATAAGACTCCGGCAGTTCACAAAGCACTTTAACATCGTTGAGGAAGATGAATTTCCATCCATTTAAGTGCGCTCGGACCGCGATATCCATGTCCTCGACAGTCGTTCTCTCGAGCCAGCCACCAGAGTCCTCCAAGGCCTTGATCCTCCACACGCCCGCGGTCCCGTTGAATCCGAAGAAGTTCAGGAAAGCGCCGTTAACTTGCTGCTCGACTTCGAAATGGAAGCAGAGATTGATGTTTTGAAGCCTAGTGAGCAAATTCTCATCTTTATTCACAAATGACCAACGAGCCTGAACTAAACCAAGCTCGGGATCACCCTGCAATGCAGATCAACATCATTACATAAAATAAAACGAACTCGAAATCGAATCTTGTAAATCGGATTTTCATCGAATACCTTGAAGTGAGGCACGGTTTGCTTGAGGAAATCCGAGTTAGGCTGGAAATCTGCGTCGAAGATGGCGACGAATTCGTAGTCCTTCACGTAGTCACACGCCATCGCCGATTTAAGGTTGCCGGCTTTGTATCCGGTCCGGATCAATCGATGTCGGTAGATTATGTTCACCCCTTTCTCCCTCCATGAAGAAACTTCATCTTTGATCAAAAGCTGTAGATTTCCATCATCTGAATCATCCAGAACTTGAATTAGGATCCGATCTTTAGGCCAATCAAGTTGACAAGCAGCTGCAATCGATTGGGAGAAAACCTGGAGAAAAAACCAACAAGAATTACATCAAAAAACAGATAAAAAAACACCGAAAATGATTGAATTTGAAGGACTAAAAACACTGAAAATGCTCACTTCTCTTTCATTGCACATTGGGATTTGAACAAGAACCATAGGGAAACTCGAATCATCTTCAATGTCATCAGGATCTCCATTGATTCTGGGTTTCAAGTTCTTATATTTAATCCAGAAACAACCCAGACAAAGAACAAGGCGATCGAGGGACTGAATCAAGAAGAGAACGATGCAGAATTTGGACATGGTTAACACCAATGGAGCTACATAATCGACTCTAAACGACATCCATGAGATGTAACACCGTTGAAGGAGACCTTGAACCTCCCATGGCTGAATGATGCTCAAATTCCATTTCTTCAAATGGGCAACGATTTCCAGAACCAAAGCCGAAATCGAGATGAATAGGAACGCTTTGATGAATCTGTACAATCTCCTGCTTTTGGCTTCTTCTTCACTCGCATCGGACAATGAGATTCGTTTTTTGACCGATGAAAGTTTGGTTTTGAACGCCATTGGCAGCCACCAAAGACAAGCGAAAACTCGGTGAGCTTTGAGGAAGATGAACCAGGTGAACTGCTTGGGACTCACTGATTTCTGTTTCTCGAGTAGTAGAGTTGAAGAATCCGAGCCATTGATTTCCACTAAAGAGAACTTGTTCGGCTTCTCAATGGTGACCACAACCGAACTCGGAGCCATAACTCAGTTAGATTTCAAACAAAAGCACAAAAACCAGATCGAAATTCAGCAAAAGAATCAAAAACAAAAACTGGGTTTTCAATTCTGGGATCTGGGGAAGACGAAGAACCAAAAAAAATGTAAACTTCTATATTTTCACCATTGAAGGAGAGAGAAAATAAAAGGGGAAGATTTATGAACACTGATGAAACTTTCCAGTGAGGCACTAATAAAGGAGAACAAGAAAGCTCCTGTTTACTTGCATCTGTGGTTACATACAATTTTGAAGATCTAAAAAGAACCCTAAAAATTAAATTTTTAATTAAGAGAAACAACCCAGCTTAGTCAAAGAAGTTTCCATCCTTGAAAAAGAATAAGATTCATTGGACCAAATCCAGCTTTGACATGTGAGCAGTGTTCACAAGAATCCACTCATTACCTCAATCTCATGAAATGATTCAGTGAAAAAGCCAACAAAGATCCAAACTTTTATGAGTTCATCACAACTAGGTACAGCAAAACTGCACATCACCTTGATTGACTCACTGTTTTGGGATTTACCTCAATTGGTTTGTTTATCCAATTCAAATCTAAACTATTTACCTATGATTAAAGTACACTCGACTATTCATTATGTTTTAAATTTATTATTTTCGGTTAAATTTTTTATAATCAGAGATGTACGATAACATATTAACTGAGATATAATAAAATTTGATATCATAATCTCTAATGACTATCATATCTTAATCAATATATTAACGTCTAGTTAGAGATAGACCGAGGGGTGGGGCAATCGCCCCCTGAAAATTTAAAATTACCATATATTTTAAATTTTTTTCTATGTATTACCTATTGAAATCTATTTCGCCCCCTAGAATTTTAGTTCATCCCACTTAAGTTTAAATTTGTCCCCCAACATAAAATCATGCGTCCGTCCCTGTGTCCATCTCAGACGATCTTTAATTTTTTTAACAAAAACGGATGAGTTTGGAACATAATAAATAGTCTAGTGACCATTGTGTAACTTTTAATAGTCGATGGACTCAACAAAGCGACCCCCTATAGTTAAGAGATCATTTTGTAATAGAGAAAATCGCCTCAGTGACCAAAATTCCCATATAATATACGATTTTAACCAACTTTTTTCGGATTTGCCAAAATGACCAACAAAATCGCAATGCGATCGCTAATTCGCAACGCGATCTCCATTATCGCAAATTCGCGTTGCATTTCGCGTTGCGATGGTCTACAGTGTCGTTGCGATTTTCCCAATTCGCAATGCGAATAAGTAAATCGCAACGCGAATTGGGAAAATCGCAATGCGATACTGACTATCGCAATGCGATACTTACTATCGCAATGCGATAATACAAAATCGCAACGAGATACTGACTTTCGCAACGCGATTCTGACTTTCGCAACGCGATAATACATAATCGCAATACGATTTTCAAAGCGCCATTAGTATCCTGGCCAAATATTTTATTTTTAAATTCCAAACACGAATATTAATATATTGGAACACTGAACCGTCCACAGTATATCCCGTAATCGCAACTCATAACCTAAAACCTAAAATCACAACTCAGTCCCATCTCCATCTCTCACTCTCTCACCCATCTCCGACGAAATCCGTCCCCATCTCCGGCGAAATCCGTCTATCTCCTTCTCTCAGAGCCACCCTCACAATCAGAAATGGAAAATCAACCAAATCAACCAACGAGGGTTAGTTTTTTTAATTATTTTCTTTTTGAAATTTTTGCATTATTATTAGGTTTTTCATATTGAAATTGATGATAAGTTTACTGGTAATTTCAATAATAGATTAACCATTTCAATTAGATTGCTTATTAAATCAACCGAGAATCGCAACGAGAAATGCAAATCGCAACACGATTTTAGTTTCGCGTTGCGATAGTCATTTTCGTGTTGCGATTTTCATTTTCAGAAACTATTCTTCTTCTGCAAATTGAAACTTGAATGAATTGCATTACTTCAACCAAAAAACAAAGACAAATACGAAATTCACAGTGTTGCAAATTTAAGTTTGAAGAATAAACTACTACTCTTTATGTTTATTATTGTTTTTGGTATATCTTCACAGTGTAGTTTTTGGTATATCTAACTTAGTATGTTTATTGTTTTTGTAGAACTTTTATTCGGCTCAATTGACCTTAAGAAATAAAGTCAGCCTGGCCAAAACAATTGCGTCGAAGCTTTCACCTGCACAAAGAAAAATGTTTGAGGATACATGCTTCGGGCCATGGCTGAAAGTACAACATCCCGGTGGAGATGCGATGTTGACACACCTGTTTCTTCAAACCATGACTAGCGATCTACCAGAGACTATACAACGTCGTGATGAAGAGATATGGTTTGATTTTCCACCGGCGTATACGTGTTTTGGGCGGGAGGAGTTTTGCTTAATCACCGGTCTACGCTTCAAACACGATGATGTATGTCGGTACACTAGACACATTACCCACCCATCATGGCTATCCCGGGTTTTTCTTGAGCTGGAGAGGCCGAATCTACACGTAGAAGACCTGACAAGATTGTTGAATAAGAAAGATGGTTTTACTCGGATGGATGACGTCGACGTTGTCCGAGTATGCCTTCTAATTCTTTTGCATGCCGGCTTTTTAGGCAGAGAGGCAAGACAACCTATTCCAAATGATCTAATCAAATTGGTAGAAGACCTAAATGCGTGGAACCTGTTTCCGTGGGGCTCGTATTTATGGAAAGCTACATGGAATAAGTTATCGTCTGCCTTGGATGATCGAAAAAGTTTGCATGGCGATGGTTCCAAATACACTTTGACAGGCTTTATTTGGGCCTTTAAGGTAAGAATTTTTATATAATGTTTCCAAAATTATAAGTAATTATTTAACAATTACTAATGTTTGTTATTATATTGTTTGTAGATTTAGATATTTGAGGCCTTTCCCGCCATGAAGACATATGCAATAAAAACTTCAAATGATATTCCCAGGGCTATTTCCTGGAAGAGGAAACGGACCTTGCAATGGGAAGATTTACTACGGTATACGACAATAAATAATGTAAGTTAACATAAATACTATCATATGTTTATAAACAAGTTATTACTAGTACACGTTTAACTTTGTTTGAGCTTTTATATTGTTAGGAGGCCAACACTCCTCTACAGAGGCTGACACCCACGGAAGCTGAGCTTGCCACTGATTGGTGGCAAGCTAGTAAGCATTTTTTTGATGGAACGGTTGATGAGCAGCCTCCACTTCGGGAGCCATCACCTCGCCCAGAGTTATCACCTCACCCAGAGCCATCATCTGATCGACCCGACTATACACCTCCACAACGACAACCATCACCTATTCTGTCACATCATCGAGCCTCTTCTCCACCATCACCGCAAGATAGGCGACCGGCAAAGATGCCACGACGTTTATCTCCCTGTTCTCCACCTCCACCTCAACGGGATGAGTTAGGGGAGTTACGTGATGAGGTCAATGCCTTGCGTGAGGAGGTCGATACTTTACGCAAAGACGATGGTGCATGGCGTGTTGAGGTGTCTACATTACGTGGTGAGGTAGCCGCTCTACGTGAGATGGTAGCATCGTTGCAGAATGAGGTTTATACTCTACGCAACGAGGTAAGTTTAAGATTTTTCATACTCGTAATTCATTCGGTTGCTGCCAATACTGCTAAACTGTTTTTGTTAGTATTTGTTTTTGGTTTTGTTTTTGTCTTTTGGTTGAAGTAATGCAATCCATTCAAGTTTTAATTTGCAGAAGAAGAATAGTTTACTTTCGCAACACGAAAATGACTATCGCAACGCGGAAATGGCCATCGCAATGCGAAATGAAAATCGCAACGACAAAATCGCAATGCGAAATAAAATCGCAACGCGAAATGAAAATCGCAATGCGATTTGTGTTTCGCGTTGCGATTTTGTCGTTGCGATTTCATTTCGCATTGCGATTTTGTCGTTGCGATTTTCATTTCGTATTGCGATTTTGTCGTTGCGATTTTCATTTCGCATTGTGATAGCCATTTCCGCGTTGCGATAGTCATTTTCGCGTTGCGGTTTTAAGTTTCGTGTTGCAAAAGTAAACTATTCTTCTTCTGGAATGTTTATATATGTTGTCCTTTTAAATGTTTATATAAGTGCTTACTTCTGGAATGTTATCTGAGCATTTTGTGAACTATGATAGAATAATGACTTGGGTGAATACAATGCTAGTTTGAAACATATTTGTCTTTGTTTAATATCATGTATGTTTATTTACTGATTTATGTATTAATTTTTTTTAGCGGCCCGATAAGTTGGATGCTTTACGTCGGGTTTTCCTTGCACGACGGAGTTCACGCATCAGACGGCGTGGACGTGCTATTACGTCTCCGTTCACCCCAATGGTGCGAAGACTCCACAAGAAGAAGCCCGACTCACCTGTCATCCCTCAAGAGTCCCCTCCAATCGTTCAAGAGGCCCCTATCCTCCCTCAAGAGTCCCCCCCCACCGTTCAAGAGGCCACTGTCATCGTTGAAGAGGTCCCTCCCACCATTCCAGAGTCCGATTCACATGGGGTAATATATCGAAGTATTGAGAAACCCTCACCGGTTCTGGACATGATGGATGAGAGTTGGCTCTCGTATGAGTTACCGGCTAGTACCCTTCCGGTATCTGAAGTGGAGAGGAGACAACTACCGGAAACAATTGTGGATAATACCCTTTGGGCTAAGACCGCAGTTGATTTTTATCTACATGAGCGGAGCCAAGGGTGTTACACTGACATAAGCAAACTCAACGGTGAAATGTTTTTGTTGCTTGATCGGTCTTGGTGGGGTGTGCTATTAGGGGTTGAAGACAGTGGCTATTTCGATAGGGAGGTAAGTCTTATATTTGTCTTATATATGATTTTGATTAATTTTTTTAAAAATTAATGTAATTCACTAATATATGTATTTTTTTGTAAAACAGCATATCGATGCGTGGGTGTCACGTCTACTAATAATAAGGAAGCTTAGGAAAAATAAAAAAAATTCGCGATATACAATAATGCCGGCGGCTTTTCACGCAGTTCACTTGAAGAATCAACGAGATGAATCATTTTCGTTGGGCAATGGACAAGCTAAACTTTATCCTGCATGGTGGGAGGTCGATAAGGTTAGTGTTTATTTT